CTTAAATTTTTAATTAAATAATTAAAGATGGAATATATATATATATATATATATATATATACATATAATAAAATAAACAATTATTAGTTTATTAATAAATCATAACTGATAAATCATTCTAAAGCTTCCATAAAGATCCTATTATTATATTTCAAAATTATTTGTAAACTTAAACCATTAAATACGTTATTACCTTAATCACGAAAAGTATTATAAATTTAACGTACCACGCGATTCCATTTCTCACCTGAAACGAATCGATCGACATATCTGACTACTGATGTCGACATGTAGTTTACCTTAATAGGGCTTTAAGCCTTCGTCAATGCTTACGCAAAGGCAGAACAAGTGATCGTGATAGGAAATATGACTGGGGTAGACCGGGGTACAAGACCGGGGGGGCGCGATCGCAGAAAGAGCCGGGAAGGGTGTATGTTGCACAAGAGGGGTACAAGGCTTGCTGCTGTATCGTGAGTGGGAGAGGAGAAGGAGTAGGAAGGGTGTGGGCAGTATGCACTCGTGATATTTGCTAATCACTGACAGCGACGGCTTTTAAGTACTGTCGAGCACATACGTATAATGTGCGCACTTACATTTGTAGGGTATTTCGCGGGCGTGTACACGCGAGCGGATGTATGGAGCGGTGCAAAAAAAAAAAAAAGAGAATGAAGCGCCGGGTGAGGCTTAAAAATTGGCAAATCCGCCGATCGGACGTCATCGGCGTATCGGTTATATCGGTACCGGTCGTTGTGCGGCTTAAAAATGAAATTGCGCCCGTATCTCCCCGCCGCTGCCACCGCCGCCAGAGTTGGCATATCAGGCAAAACGACAATTTCGTTTTGGCAACGCGAGCGATATGGCTTTAATCGCCTCCCGATCGCTTCCCGCGCTCAAGTATCGGACGTACCGCTTGACGTACATGTGCGTTTAACAAGCGAGGATGCGCCAAATAAATTTCGAGGATTACGAATTCTCGCGTCTTACGGACAGGAAGATTCTTCTTTTTAATTATAGTTATATATCGCTACTTCAATTTTTAATCCTGATCTCACGTTGCGACGCGTCACCTTTGGCATGCAGGTCTGTGGTGCACAAAAGGGATGTAAATTAATAATTACAAGAAAATTGATTTAATGTAAAACATCTATTATATGTTTAATTTTAAGGTCTATTATAATCTTCTACTATCTTTCAACTTCTTCTATCTTCAACTTTAAGTCGTCAGTAACATTAGGTAATAACAATATATCAAAATTCTTTGAAAAATATTTAAAAAAATTGCACCGAGGTAAGACAGACGAATAAAATTATGCTATAAAAATTGTATATTATTGTCTTCAGATCACGCGACGTCGTCTGACCACGCTGTGGTTGATGGTGGCGATACAGAGCTCGGTCACCTGAGCGATCATCAGATCAACGACGCGCTGCACGATCCCTTAAATCTGGGGGAATCCGATCGACCACGCAAGGTGCGACGATCGCGAACGACTTTCACGACATATCAGCTGCACGAGCTCGAGAAGGCTTTCGGGAACACGCAGTATCCGGACGTGTTCACCAGGGAGGAGCTGGCGATGAGACTGGATCTCTCGGAGGCCAGAGTACAGGTGCTTTTCACGAACGATTAAATCATTGCAGAAAAGATATATGGTACGAGAGGAAATATATTGCGGAAATAAGGAAAATTTTTGCGAATTTTTAGATAAGAAGGTAGGAATATAAAGTAAACTAGGAAAAAGGCATTTGTTCCATCTTTCATATTTTCATTGACGGGAACAAACAATATGAAAAATGGAATAAATGAAACGGATATATAAATTTTAATATTTAATATTATAGAGCTCAAAAAGACAACGAGCGTCTCGTGTTCCTATCGTCTTTTTCATTATTAAATACTGTTTCATAAGAATAAAATATCACTCTCGACTACCGTGCACTTCCAAAAGATTAGCTTAGCTACCCTTTTCTCAATGACTGATTCAAATATTCCGCAAATGCGGCTTGAGGAGAAAGAAGTCAGGGCAGATTTTACTAGACAGTTGCAGAAGTATAATTAACCTTTCGTCGCTTTGACCGAACGACTTCACAAAGCCCAAAAAGGCACGCGAGTGTCGCCGAGTTTCGCGCATTTGATAGTGGCATTCGCAAGTTTCGTAAGTAGTTTTAATGGCGAGTTTTAGATTCGGTCAGCAGGATGGGATTTAAAAGGCTAACTCGAAGCTCATATGTTAATTCAATGTTAAATATGGAGATTAAAAGAATTCGAGGCAATAACATGATAAACTGTACGAGCGATTAGCGCTACATTAATATAACGTTTATATCAAAACATATTTGAATAGCTATTATGATACTTTGTTATTCATAATTATAGATCTAAATTTATTTTTCTTTTTCTCGATAAAATGGTTCACACAGTGATTAGCGTACAATGGCGTAGATTTTCACGTACCAAAATTTTCACGAAAATTGATTTATACGTAGATTTCACGAAACTTGAGAAGCACCGAGCATCCTCGAGCGCTTGCAGAATTGCGTTTTGGCGACTCAACTTCGAGGCGCGAGTCACTTAACTAATTAGAGACTATTGTATTTCGCAAAATTTCGTGCTACCGTTTTTCATCTGTAATTTTGCGAAACACACCCTACGCCCCGAATCCGTCAATGGTTAATTCCACAGAAGAAGGGCTGCCTCGTACAGACTAGTAATCTGCTTTGGAATTACTTTAAAACGGCGTCCTTGAAAATTCAAGTATGCTGCAGCACTGGGGGTGTAGTTCAATCCATGATGATAACAGGTACACATCGTTTCGTACACGATGGTTTTGTACTCTCACTTTATCTCCTTTTAATATACATCGTATTAAAAATAAATTAATTTACGTAGAATGCAAGAAATATTTGTAATTATAAACGAATAATATTGCACAGAGTAAATAAGTATATTAAATCAGCAAATAATTATTTGCAAAATAGTAATAGTAATAATTTGTTTACATTTTAGTTAAATTAACATGTAAAATAATAGTACGTACAGATAATAAATATAGAAATAAATATATTAATAATATATATGAATGTAATATATATTGTAAAAAGATAACAATTTTTAACAGATATTTAACAGAAAAAGAGAGAATCTTTTATTGATTTTTTTTTTCAAGGAATTACTCTTAAACCTCTTGAATCAGCCCTTCAGGAATCACCAATTCGATTGTTTTATTCTGACGACAAAGAAACTGTCGACAATTTTAACAAAGACATATACACACACTTATACATGCATTTTCTGTATGTAGTGGGTGAGTGCGAGGGGTTGCATGGGGCCGCCAGCGGAAGGGTGGCGATGACGGTGGCTGAAAAGAGACAGAGAGCATTCCGATTGGCCCATTGTGGTACAGCGGAGCGACAATGCCGGCAATTGGCCGTCGCTCGACAAAACCGCTAAATGATCCGCCGCGACGCACAGTGGTGCCACGGCCACTTTATTTCAATCTAGGAAATCCTCCTGTCTTCCTCTCTCTTTCACCTCCGCGCCGATTCCAGATGCGAAATTACCCCATTTTTCGATATTAACGGCTGGCCGATGTATCGACGATCAGGCGCGTATGGTAATGCAATCGCGAGTCATTTCTAACGTTTCCTACATCCTGACAGATGATTTGCCACCGCTGGACGCACTGATGGAATTTTTATAGGCTTTTAGGTATATTGCAACGTGATTTTCACAAATTACTCTAATCGTATTAATATAATGTAATCTTTTAATATCTTTTTTCTTTCTTAATATCTTTCTAATTAATTGTAACTAAATGTAAAGATATTAAGATAAGAGCTCCCTTCGAGTTATATATATATATATATATATATATGTATGTGTATTAAATTGTCACAGACTTAAGTTTCGAGAAATATATTTTTATTAATATTTTTTATCGTTGACATTTTTTAATAAACAATATACTATTGTTTTTGAAATTTGTAGACTGGTGCAGAAACATCTTCAATTTCTGTGATAAATGGTTCGAGAGATTAATTGGGTAGAGTTATGGAAACGCGTCGGCGTTGCAAACTTTCGAGTTCGTGGTGGGTCGCTTAAATGACGCAAGGTTTGTGAGCACTTAAGCGTTAAAGGCTATTCAGGAGTGATTAAATAATTAACAGCAATTAGGCAATTGAATTTCCTGTCCTCGTCTCGCAACGCTGACCTCTTTCCCTCGCTTCAGCGTTATTCTTCTTCTTTCCTTCCTCGATGTCACTTCTTTCTCTCCAGTGTACCCTTGATTTTCCCACGTTACCTCAATTTTATTCTGCAACCTGGCCGAACTAACTCGCTAATTTGTCTCGATCTAATGGGCTGTCATAAGTCATAATTTCTCTTGGTTTTCAAGCAAATTATAATTAAGATTGTCGCGCGTGTGATGAACCATAATCTTTGCAGTTTCTCGAGGAAAAGATTAATAAACTATTCAGATGCAAGAAAGTGTCGAATCTTGAATTTACTTTTATTTTTTACTTTTATTGTTAATAAATTTTATCATCTGTAGCCTTTATAATGCTAATTAGAATTGTTAAATATAATTCTATAAATATTAGAATTGCTAAATATAATTCTATGCTTAAGCATATATTGTTTACATATTTATTTGCGGCTCTTATTTATATATATAAATTGAAAACTAATAATATATGAAATATAAAAAAATACGAAATATACGAAGGATACTTAAGGATATATATCCTTCTTATATTTTGTATTTTTATTTCATATATAGTTTTATCATATTTTTATGTAAGTATTATTCTAAGTAAGTCTTCTTGTAAGTTTTCTTTCTAAGAATAAAATATAATAGAAT